TCTCATGAGTCTATCCCTATTGTGTGTATCAGGGCTCAGAAGAAAGGCTGCAGGATAGAGGGAAAGCAAAAGAGAACCTCCTCTGTAGATCCATTCCACTGTCTTTCATCCAAGACTCCGCCACTATGAAAGGAAGGGGCAAGACTGGGCCTGCAGAGTCCACTGCCCGCATGTACTGAATACAGTGGCAAGTTAAAAGCCATGCCTCATAAGGCTGCTCAGTGGCCTTGTGGGCTATGGGTTTGCCACTAACCCGACCCTACTGGAGGCCAAGGCAGGGCCGACAAGAGGGAGCACAGCAAGACTGCCATGCTGCTACATCACCTGGCAGAACATAAGCATTCTTCCTCTGACTCATGTCGGGAAGCGGTGATGATAGCTTTGTCTACATAATCGGTTCCTGCAGGAGAAAATGCTCCTTCAAGGAGCCTTTAAAGAAAGCTTTTGACTCTTCCTAGCCACTAAGACATGTCCAGCAAGTCTATAAGCACTAGAAATTCAGCATGGAGCAGAGACTGGCACCAGGCTACTTCTAAAACATACGACCACGTCTCATAGGGCTGCCAGCCTGCAGGTGGTGCCTGGAGATCTCCTGGTGTTACAATGGATCTCGAGACTACAGAAATCAGTTCACCTGGAGAAAATGGCTGCTTTGGAAGGTGGACTCTTTGGCATTGCAAACTGTTTGCGTGTCGTCACCGCCCTGCCCAACTGGGAAGGCGTGAACACCGAGTCCAAGACCACCTCCCGTTGGCTATCGTGTTGGGGTAGGTGGAACAGGGCATCGGCCAACGAATTCGCTGAGCCTGGGAACTGGTGAAGGGTGAACTGGAATTTGGAAAAGAAATCTGCCCACTGAACCTGTTTGGCATTGAGACACCGAGGCATTTTTAGCGTTTCTAAGTTCTTATGGTCAGTCCACACCTCGAACGGGACTCGCACTTCCTCCAACCAATGCTGCCAAGTGGACAGTGCGAGTTTTATTGCCCCCGCCTCCTTCTCCCAAACAGACCAGTTCCGTTCAGTGTTATTGAACTTCCTTGACATGTATGCCAAGGGGTGAAGCAACCCATCCCCTCCCTCCTGGAGGATGCCCCCCCCCCATGGCCACATCCGACGCATCTGTTTGTACAATGAACTTTTTAGTCTCATCAGGGTGAGCAAGTACAGGTTCCGAAGTGAACAAGGCTTTGAGGCATTCAAAAGGCTCCTGACAATCTTTATTCCAAGGCAACGCTGCTCCCGGCTTTGTAGCCTCCGGGCCCTTCCCCTTAGTTTTTAAGAGATCTGTCAGGGGTAAACTGACCTAGGCAAAATTGGCTAAAAAGTTTCTGTAAAGGTTTGCGAATCCTAAGAAGGATTGGAGCTGTCGTCGGGTGCGGGGTACCCCCCCACCCCAATACATCTCGCACCTTTTCCGGATCCATCTCCAGACCCCTCTCCGAGATATGATATCCCAAAAAGTCAATATGTGTCTTATGAAACTCGCACTTAGAAAGTTTTGCAAACAGTTTGTGCTTGTGCAATGTGGTTAACACCTTCCTCACCAATTTCATGTGGGACAGGAGGTCGGGGGAGTACAGCAAGATGTCATCTAGGTAAACAAGGGCCCCCTTGAACAGATGCTTGTGCAAGACCTCGTTGATCAAGTTCATGAAGACCCCCGGGGGCCCCTGAAGACCAAATGGCATCACTCAATATTCGAATTGCCCGAGAGGGGTATTGAACGCCGTCTTATGTTCACCCCCCTCCCTGATGTGCACGCGAAAGTACACATCTCGGAGATCCAGCTTAGAAAGGTTTTTCCCTTGGGCCGCCTCTGCCAATAAATCTTTGATCAATGGCAAGGGGTAGGAATTAGTTGACGACACTGCATTTAGGCCCCGGTAATCCATGCAGAGTCTCAGCCCCCCATCCCTTTTCTTCCGGAACAAGACCGGGGCAGCAGATGGGGACGAGGCCAGTCTGATGAAACCACAGGCCAGGTTTTTGTCTATGAACTTGTGCAGTTCATCTTTCTCCGCCGGGCCCATGGCATAAATGCGTCCCTTAGGTAGTTTTTGGCCAGGCAATATTTCCGCACTTAGAAAGTTTTGCAAACAGTTTGTGCTTGTGCAACGTGGTTAGCACCTCCCTCAGCAATTTCACGTAGCCACGGGCCTCCTAGGACCAGCGGGAATCTAGCGGCTGGGGTGATAACGAACAGCCGTTCTTCCCAATGATCCCCCGCCCCCAACCTTAACGGTACAGTCTCATACTCACAGGGTTCTTTCATAGTAGACCCATCCATTTGGGTAAAAATCAAAGGGTCTTCCAGCTTTACTACCCCCTCAAGGGAGGGGTTGATAAGATCCTTCCCACACCCTGAGTCAATGAGGGCTCTCACACAGATATGTGTTCCAAGGTCGGGGTTAATTAAAGTCACTGTCACAAAAAACAAGGGGGGAAAGCTGCTCACCACTTTTGGCGCCTCCGGGATCGGGTCCTGCTGCTCCGCACCTCTTACAGCAGGACCTGGACTTTTCCCACCGGCTCGGGGTCGTCTTCACTGGAGTCTTGTTCCAAGCCCTCTGGGGTGGCTTGCAGGGCTTTGGCATATTTCGGCTTCCTCGTCGGCTTTTTGGCAGGGGTGGCCGGGCGTCCTTTCGCTTAGTCGCTTGGTCCTGGTTTCCCCAGGCCGGTTCCGCCACATTCGGCCATGAAATGGCCCTTTCCCCCACACTTCAGACAAAGACCTTGCCGCATGCGTTGCTCCCGCGTAGCCTCTGACTGTCGCGCCGGTTTGCCTTTTGGAACCGAAGATGCAGGCTTGCCTCCCCCAGTGGCGATGTCCAAGCGTAGGGTGTTTAGGCGTGTCTCCATGCTCTCCGCTTCGTGCATCCATTCCGGTAGGGAGACTGGATCTACCGCTCCCGGATTTCTGGATTCAGCCCCACGTGGTACAACTTGGCTAGTACCGGGTCAGGCCAAGTTTGGACTTTGGCTGCGTGTAGCATGAATTACGATGAGTACTCCCTCACAGTTCACATCCCTTGCTTCAGGGTGCATAGGAAGACCCTTGCTTTCGGCCCAGCATTCCAATCCTCGAATTGGGCCCGCAGGGCCCACATGAAAGCGTCCAGATTGACTAGCTCAGGGCCCTTTGCATTGTGCAGCCCCACATACCAGGCCGCCGCGGGACCCCTCAGATGGGCTGCCGCCATGTCTATTTGACTGCTGTCATCTGGGAACACGTGGCCCGATCTCTCCATGAATTTCATTACTCGAACCACAAAGTAGGCAAGTTCTTCAGGGTTCCCCTCAAACGTGGCTTCGATGAGGTCTTTTGGCCAATGGACCGCAGGACCCCTTGGGCTTGCTGGTCGCGAAGCTGGAACTGGGACCTCCCTCGGAGCTGGCCTGGGCACTTCCCCCGGCTGAGGTTGGGGGGGAGGTGGTTGGGGAGGTGGTTGCAGGGGTGCCACTGGTTGAGCCTGTCTTTCCTCTCTGATGGCTTGAATCATCAACTACGGGATCGCCTGGAACAGATTTGCCATGTCCTTCTGCAGTTGCCGCCACTCTTGGTCAGTCACCTCCATCCTATGGGCCCACTCCAGTCCCCCATCTGGGGACACGTGCCCACTCCGCGCCTTCGACCGCTCCGTCACCCACGCTGCCGGCTGCGGTTCAAAGGAGGTCCCATATGGGGGTAAATCTCCTGCTGGGAACCCCAGGTCGAACCTGCTATCCCTTCAGGGCCCTCGTGTCAGCATATAAATCTCTGTTGTAGAATCCGGGTTAAAGTGGCACCAGCTGGAGCTCGGTCGATACCCCATCTGGGGTGGTTGTCTGGGCCCTGAGGGAGTCAGGAACACCAACATAGAGGTTGTTTTTAGGACAGCACCCATCACAGCCGCTGTCACCAGCACCAAAGACTGGGTCGTGGGAGTCACACACCCCAGTCGTGGTAGGGGTCAGCTCCTTTTCTTCCTCCTCCTCCTCCTCTTCTTCCTTGAGATCAGGTTTCTCCTCTGCGGTGCTCATCTCGGTTTAGGAGAGAGGCACGTAGATAGAGAATGAAGAATTCTTAACAGAATGTCAGAACCCACAGCCAACAACGGAGTACACACTTCTTGGAAAGGTTATACTTTTATTGAAGAGCCATAGATGCATTAACACAGTCACTGTTAAGAACAACCGTTGCCTATTGAACCTAATGAGATATAGGGCATTCGTATGCACACACACACACACCCTGCGCTGGCCAATTAGGCACCCTCCCGCGCGCAGGCTAAAGCCAGCAAACTGTTACTATGCGAAGCTGGGAATTGTTCGGCTCCCACGGCTTGCCTGGAAGGCAGACAACCCCCACACACACACCTGTACTTCTTTAGAGATAAGCATTTCAGCGCAAAGCAGAGAGAGGAATGCAAAAGCAATTTACACAGACACTGAAAGAACATCCCAACCCCCATGGTAGCATAGCTGACAGGCCTCTCCCCTCCCCAAGCCCCACTCTCCCCAGGATCCACTCCCCAAATTTCCAGGAATTGCCCAGCCCAGAGCTGGCAACCCTAATGTCTCACCATGTTAGGTTTGTAGCCTTAGATAATAGTTTGTAGCTTTTGGTAATGACACCATAAGATGATTAATGCCACCTCTTTTTTTTTTTTTGTACACAGAGCAAATGAAAATTAACTTTAGGCATGTTTAAGAGAATCTTAGGATTTCAAAACCAGTTATGATATCTTGGAGCCTTGCATATCATTTTGGAATACACAGTTATGGCAACACAATAACCATAATTATTCAAGGTGGAAAGATTGGAAGGCAAGAATACAAATGGGTCCCTAAGCTTCACTGACATGTACACTGCTCGCTCTCCCTCTCAGAGTCACAGCCAAATAGATCTTCTGACAAAGATGGTTTCTGATACCACCAAGGTTTCCACTACACTACAACCCATTAGCCTTTTATGGGTGTTACAAAGGAGAGAATAAAATGAAACATGTTTGACTTACGACTTGGTCCATGTATCTTGATGGGTTTGTTGCTGATCAGAGAATGGGAACAGGTTTGGCAAACACACTCCTTGCCACTGAAAGTAACTTTGTCTCCGATAGGGAATGGTTTTCTGAAACAGAGGGAAGTCAGAAAAAGATTCAAAGATTACATGGAGGACTTCAGATACCCGAGGATCTCCTCATTGTCTTGATGAATTATCACAAGGTTTGCTCCAGGGACCTTATTGCAAAAAGCTGCAATTGTGGCTGACTGTTACTCTAAAGGGCTGCTAACAGGAAAAAAACAGCAGCCTGCCTAAAGTGTGAGATTTGTTAAGGAAAAGGTGATATACCAGAGATTGGTTTTTGCTGCGGAAATGGAAACCAGAGGATTTTCTGGCAACCTGATTGCCCAGGTTACCTTTGTGGATTCTGACAACAGACTTTTGGACAATTCCCAGATTCTGTTCATGCCCGTATTGGGGGCATAATATGTAGGGTTGCCAGCTCTGGGTGGGGAAATACCTGGAGATTTTGGGGGTGGAGCCTGGAGAATGTGGGGTTTGGGTCATCTGCAGGGTACAATGGCATAGAGTTCAGTCTCCAAAGCAGCCATTTTCTCCAAGGGAACTCATCTTTGTCACCTGGAGATCAGTTGTAATAACAAATCTCCAGGCCCCACCTGAAGGGTGGCAACCTTAATAATATGTGATGCATGTTGCAGACAGTATTATTTGTGTAACACACTAGATCTTGTGAAGGGATTCTATGCAGGTTCTATTTTCATTTTGTTGACTGAGCTACGCTGATCCATGCTACTGTAACCACCACACTGGACTACTGTAGGGTGCTTCTGAAGACATCTCAGATACTACAATGGATACTAGTTTTGGCAGCAGGGCTCCTCTCTGGTATCTGCCACTTGAAACACATAACTCCACTATTGCATCTACTGCATTTAAGGCTGCCAGGCCTCCTGCTATGGTGAGAGACTTCCCACAAGTAGCCCTTCCAATGTCACTACTAGGGGGAAAATGAGAAGTGATGTTGGAATTGCTGGAAACTGTATGTTTTTACCACAGAGTTTCCAGGGATTCATAGAGCTACCTGACATTATGTCAATTTTCCCCCCAAAAGTGACATCATGGTGCGTATGATGCAGCCCCACGCCCCTCGCTCTGAAGCTCCCACTGGTTGCTAGGCAAGGCCTTGCTACCTGTATGCTTCCAGATCTGGTTCAAATGCAGATATTACCTTTAAAGCTCTTCATGGCCTAGGGCCTTCATACTTATTAAACCACATTCCTTATATACTCCTGTATACCATTGCCTTAATTCCACCTTTCTTTCTCTCTTGCTCCCTTCCTTCCCCTTCCCTCCCTTGTCTATTTGCTTTCTTTGTTTTCTCTCTCTCTCTTTCTTTCCACCTCTCTCTCTTTCTCACTCTCTTAGACAAATAAATATAATTAGCCAACAAACAAATATCATTGGACAAATAAATATCATTATCAATATCTTTTTTTACCCCCTTTGTTTTTATTTTTGGCAATCTTATGTAATGTTAATAAAAAGCAAATTGCATATGTTTCAATAAAAACACGTGTGTGATATTTGTTCATGTTTTGTGGCTCTCAGACATCTGATATTTATTCTATGTGGCTCTTACGTTAAGCAAGTTTGGCCATCCCTGCTTTAAATAGTTGGGGGCAAAGTGGGTGCTGCGCGCCTGCCCTACAAGCAGCAAGTTTGTTGCTTGCAGAGCAGGTGCAGGTGGCTTCCGCTAGAAGAAGAAGAAGAAGAGATTTTTATTTATACCCCGTCCTTCACTTGGAGTCTCAGAGCGGCTTACAAACTCCTTTCCCTTCCCCTCCCCACAACAGACACCCTGTGAGGTAGGTGGGGCTGAGAGAGCTCTTTCGAGAACTGTTCCTGAGATAACTGCTCTGACAGAACTATGGATTGCCCAAGGTCATCCAGCAGCTGCAAGTGGAGAAGTGGGGAATCAAACCCAGTTCTCCCAGATTAGAGTCCACACACTTAACCACTGCACCAAACTGGCTCTGCAAGCCACAAATTCACGGGTTGTTGTGCAGACACGCATGGTGACCGCTCTTGTCAAGCAGGGGTGCAGACAACTGTTGGGGGCAGGACTTCCCCTCCACTGGCCAGCTGGCTGGCGTCTGCCGGGAGCCCGAAAAATCTGGGGACAGGCATCCCTACTCTCTATTGTTGTCTTCTGCCAGTGGGTGAAAACTACTTTGTTTGATGTTCCCCTCACTAACTCTTATCAGTCCTCCCTCCTTGTCTGTTTCTATGTGTAATGTATTCAGCCTGACATGCCTGGACTTGCCCGGGCTGGCCAGGCACAATTCCTATGTTAGCTTCAGTCGAAAGACAAAGGATCTGGAGGATCCTAGCCGGCCCTATCAAATGGGCTAGCTTCCCAGCCGGGAGACCAATGGTCACCCGGTTACTGTAAATAGCCTATCGGGAGTAGGGGGTGTGTTTAGGTATGCTTGGTGGCGGGTTTTCTGAACGTATATAAACCGGCCTGCGAGCCGGTCAGTTGTCTTTGTCCTGAACTAAATAAAGGTATGCTTAGCTGAAATCACTCTCCGTCTGCATACTTTTCACTGGCGACGAAGGTGGGATCCACGACCCATGAACAAAGACCCGGACGCCGACACGAGCGCTGCACCGAGCACCGATGCCGAGACCTCCGGAAACCGCGCCGCTTCGCACCCCAGCTCTCCGGCGACCGCTCATCGCCCCGTTCCCGGCTCC